ATAATGATTAGTATATATCATATATATATTATATATATCATATATAGAAGGATATGTATATATATTTATATAGATATATGAATTAATATAATATGTACTTAGTTATATATGTATCTATATAAATTTATCTATATATATCAGTTGGTAGGTGGTGTATAGTTAGTGGTTTAAATAATTATATATATATATATATCTTATATATATATTTATACTGTTATGTGCAGTGAGACAGATGTGGTCGTGTGATCTACTGCATTATGTTCTTGTGCTGCTGGAAGATTTGTGGACTGAGTTGTTTGTTGCAACGTTAAGCGAGGTTTGGTTCAGACCCTCGAGCTTGGAACACCAACTGTTGCATATCTAATTGAGGTGATGAGATGAGCACAGAACCTTAAGTTACGAAATAATTTTATTGTGGGTACGATGATATAAATTTTGCGTTATGAAACCAATTTTTAGATATCAAATTCCCAAGTGGCTTATCATTTTCTTTCCTAAGGTATCCATTATATAGATCATAAAAGTATAGAAAGATAAACGAATGCCAGGTGTTCATAGGTTATCTGCATTTCCATCTACCTCGAGACAAAGGAATGTAGTCTATATAAGGACCAACATGTGTAATGTGTTATTATTACCAGATACCCGGTCTCGCCTCTGTGTGTCAGAAAAAAACCCGCAAGACTCTCACACCACATTTTCAATCAGATCATTCAAATCCTCCTAGATTACAAGTAGAAATGGATAAAAATGATGCTAGACGGTTTTTTAAATATGCTAAAATAACGTGAGACGTGGTTGAAGGATTCTGATAATAGAGGCACTTTCCTGTGATATCTTTCTCCGGCGAACAGCCTTGGATCATCTGCTCTCCCAGTATAAGACCCGACTATAGTGAAACCCAATATACACGAGTTACAACTCAATTCTTCTGAGCGACATCAATTTTTATCTTGGATTCTTATTTTGGTTTTTGTGAACAGATATTGGGCTTTAAGATGGGGAAGATAGATATGTTTACATTTTAAATATTTTCTTTCTGCGAGAACCATGCCGACTCTGTCACAGTTGTCAATTTGGATCTTGACTGGAGCCTATGTTTTACCCACCCATACCCCTATCCCCTGATGGTATGATTTTCAGTTTTATTGATTATTGATGATAATTACAATATTATTTTTTCTCTTTTCTTATGTAAGTCTTATTAGATTACTGTGTCTCGTGAACAATGCTCGACTATCACGGGATCGTAGGAGATTAAGAATGTGGAAAAAATGAATGAGAATGAATCGTCAGCAGTAGCAAGGTGATTTACCAGTTGTTGATATCTTCGCCGTTACATTCATAGCTTTTGTTGATGTCAGTGTGTGACATACCTTTGCAGATATCGAGATTCATTTTTTGGTTATACTAATTTCCTTTTCATTCTTTTTTTGCATTGTTTTCTTAGGTACTAATTCCTTTTCATTCTTTTTTGCACTGAAGGTCATTGGTATCTGAAGTTAGGTCATGGAAGGATGTATGAAGAACACAAGGCAACACTGGAGGAAGTAAGGGAGTGGTACATTAGACAAACAGGAAATCCAGAGTGTGTAGAAAAACTGGCAAGGTTTATGAGTCACAGTGCTGGTTGAGTGTGATGGTAACTTCCCCCATTAAATTTATTATTTATATTTGATGTGCTTGTTAGTGGTGTGTACGCCATTTGTTACTGTGTAGTTGTAACTTAGCCTGTCTAGGTTTGTTTATGTTGTGTGGTATTTATCAAATTGTGGTTACTTAGTGTGTATTCGTTTGTACTCTCTTTTCTAGCTGCTAGATCTTATCTATGAGTTGAAGGCATTGCTTGTCTCTTATAATTTTGTTTAAGATGTTTATAGTTTAGTACTATGCTTTATTTCCTCGATGGATATCACACACATACTATACAGGACGTTCTAATAATTTTGCCTGCGCTGTTAGTTTTCTTTTGTATTTTCTTTTATATTGGTTTCCCATGTGATTTTTTCGGTTCGCTTTAATAAGAATTTGCAAATAAGTATGGGTTTAGATTTATGATGTCTATTTCTCACAGAAAGGGTGTTTGATTGATATAGTGTGTGTGGTGTGGTGTGTTTATCCTTTCATTTCTTTTATTATCATTCACTATTAATTTTAGTGTATTTATTCATATGATTGTTGGTATTAATGTTATATTAGTGATGGAACAATTTCAGAAATTTCCTGTCTGCTAGATAAGAGTACAAGAAAAGACATTTCCAATTTGCTCATACTAAACATGACAATAGTAATTTTTTTTTTATATATCCTTCTTATGCTGACATTCACCTTCAGGCCTCAAAGTCAAGGAAGTTGCAGGAGATGGCTGCCTCACATCACACACTCCAGGAGAAGAACCATACATTGACATCATCGCTGAAAATTTTGGTGTTTGCTTGGGGGGCAATGGTTATGGAGCTGGTTCCAGTGACGAGATAGGAAGACTAGCAGCACGTCTTTT